TGATCATCGAACTCCGCGGTAGCGGCATGAAGTGGGAGGATATTTCAAAACGCCTGCCCGGCCGGAGCGCCATCAGCTGCCGCCTGCACTACCAGAATTACCTCGAAAGGCGCAGCGAGTGGGACGAGGAGAAGAAGACCAAGCTCGCGCGGCTGTACGAGAGGTAGGCTTTTTTTTATCTGGACCCTGGCATTCGATCGTACTCAGGGTAGGAGACTGAGAGGAAAATTAACGTTTGTCACAGGCTCAAACCCGAAATGTGGGCCAAGCTCGCCGAAGAAATGGCCGTTCCCTGGCGCGCCGCTGAGGCCATGCACTGGCAGCTCGGCGAGGCAGACATTGCTCGTCGTAACGGCGTCACGCCTTTCTCCCTCGCTGCTGTCAACGTGGAGCAGCCGCAGCAGTCACAGCCGCCGCTCGCCGCTCGCAATTCCCCATCGAGGCAGCAGCACCATCATCATCACCACCACGCCCACTCGCACTCGCAAGGCAGCATTGCACCCCCGCCGCAGGCTAGGTTCCCGAGGGCCGGCGGATACTCGCCGCTGACTGGCAGCCGGAGGCGTGAGAGCCTACCGCCACCGCCGCCTCCCCAAGTGATGCAGCAGATGCACCAGTTGCACGAGCCTGGCCCGGGCCTGGCGCCGATACAAAGCCGTGTTGGAGCCGGAGGAGGCATCGGCGGAGGCGGCGCGCTGCCTGGGCTCGCCGAACTCACGACGGGGGTTAGTCCCTACAGCACGCCGGCATACGTATTGGGTGGCTTGGGTCCGCCGGGACGGAGTCCGGGGGCGAGCCCGCTCGGAACCGGTCTCCATTACAGCATGGGGGAAGGGTTACCAGGTATCAAGAGGAGGGCGAGTCCGGGCGGGGAGCTCCAGAGAGAGTCGAGCCGGAGGCGCAGGTGAGAGGCAGATCCGGCCTCGCCACAAAGGGTTCGGCGGAGAACAACAACTACAACAGATGTAGCAAGACGGGCAAAGCATTATTCCTTTTTCTTTTTTATTGACACGAAAGGCAGCATCAAGCGACATTCTGGTTCGTAGAAAGAGCAGGGTGTAGGTTGCTGAAGGAGAACGGGTGGGAAAAGAACATACACGAAAAGTTGGAGGCAGTCTGCTTTATGCTGGATGGAATCGGGACCACGAGGGAGCAATGGGTGTGAGGTCTTCGACTCGGAAGACGCAAGGGCGGACACCACAGGCCGTCAGGAAATTTGGGTGGTGGGGTGATGAAGAAATATGGACGGGAGTCAATACTATGGCTATGGATTATTTACTGGATGGTGGGGAGTAGGGGCCAGAAAGCATGGCGAGTTCAACTTAGAACGCAGGCGCGGACGTGAGCGGCGAGATAGTCATAGATTCCCCAAAGCTTTTTTTTTATATTCACTTGTTTCATCTACAGGCTTCCTCATCTTGACGCGAGATTCTTTGTAGCAAACAAAAAAATTAGAAGATTTAGGTACATTTTACGTTTCGTTCGGCCCCCGCGAGCAGATGGCCCACCAGTTATCCCTCTCGTACCCGCTCTCAAGTACGACACCACCGACAGCTTGAACGTCAGCGTCGAGCTCACCCTCCTTGTAAAGGTGGTAGTAGCGGTGCCACGTCTCGTCTGGCTTCTCCTCTGCTACCGGCTCGACGGCGGCGTCGCGCTTGGGCTGGTTGGCTTTCGTGACCCAGGGGACGAGCTGGTCCTGCGGAGCAGAGGCGTCCCAGCCGCGGCGAGAGTTGCGCTGCTCCAGGGCCCAGACGAAGAGGAGGGCCTTGCCGTTGGCGGGAACGAGGGTGTCGAGGATGGCGCGAACGGCGGCGCGACGACGGGACGGTGTAGAGAGGTGGTGTAGGACGGCGATGGAGAGGGCAAAGTCGACGGAAGAGAGACGGTAGGGGAGAGTTAGCGAGTCGGCGACGATGACCTCATTGCGCCGTGCCGACGGGACTGTGGTGGTCACTTCGACGGGAGGCTCGTCGCCTTTGGCCTTCTTCGGGGGCGCGCCGCTGCCGCCTGTGTTGTCACGGGCGAGGGCGACGAGGTTGGCGCTGCGATCGGAGCCTAGGAGATGGAGGTGAGGGCTCACGGCGAGATACTTGCCGTTGCCGCAGCCAATATCCAGACCTACCGCACCAGCGGGCAGTGAGTCGAGGAAGGAGGCGACACGAGGCCAAGGCTTGTGGCGGGTGGCTGAGAAGTGGGGGGCAATGGCCTCATAGACGGCGTGAACGTGGGTAGACTCGTAGGTGGCGGCCGTGTCTTCGGATGCTGGGGCTGTAGGGGCCTGTGATGCCACAGGAGCCGCTGCCGTGTCTGTTGACATGTTGGCTGCTGGTCCGTGGGCGGCTGGAGGTGGAAATGGGTGAGTGAGGCTGAAGGTCCTTCCCTTGCCCTCAAGCAGCGGGCCCTAGATCAGACGAAGAAAGTGGTGGTTGGGCGGCAAAGGTGGGCTTGCTTCTTGTCGGGTCGTCCCTTTCCTTTCCCTTTGGTTCCCTGACTTGCTTTGACAAGGAAATTGACGCCCTCGGACCTCTCACGCTTCAGCTCTGGCTATACCTGAGTGTTCAAGACAGTCACGGAGAGGTACGTTCCCCGTCCTCAAGCTTCTCTTGCTCTTACTGCGTGCTTGTACAGACACGCCCTTGTCAGGCCCTGGGTGGGCAAACGGCCGAGTAAGCAATCCTTCAATCTGGCGGCAGTCGCCTGACACTTGACAGGGCTTGGGCTGATGAGTGACGGTGCTCGGCCCTCCCTGTTGGTGATGGGCGGGTGGACACACGTCAACACGATGATGGCAGCCTTTGGTAGTCCGCTTATGGACTCGTTCGCGACCGGGTGATCGTGAAACCCTGTCAGCCACGGAGACTGGTGGGGGTGAAGCGACCAGATCGGCAAGGTCCTTTTTCTTGGTGTGTATGTGTAAATGGTGACCAAGCCGAGAGCGCGCTGGGTCTAGAGGTGCGAAGAAATAAAATAGCCTTCAGCGAGTGTTCAAAAGTGGGTTGTGGTTCTTAATCAGAAAAATAAGACTCAGGGTCAAGCGAGCCCCGTTCGGATCCCTGACGGACAATCCCTGTCCCTGTCTTAGCCGCGTGATCGACGCGCCCGACCGCGATGTTGGAACCACAGCAGCCGATGGTTGCTCTTCCGAGGGGGTTGCCGTTTTGGGCAGCCAACCTCTGACAGGTCCAGGGTGGATTGATATCAGGCGAAGCGCTGGAAGGCCCGTAGAAAAAAGACAGTCGCTTCGATGGCTGACGGTGGATGATAGCGACGAGGATGATGAGTAAGAGGAGATGAAGCGAATGTGGTCGAGATAGAGTTGGCACTAGGTATGATTGAGAAACTGTGTATTGTAGGCTCCAGGTTCTGCGCGTGTTGCCGTTGCCGTTGCCGCTGCCGCTGCCGACGAACCAGTTTGACGGGTACTAGAATAGCAGGATTGACGTGACACTGACTTGCCGCCTGGTGTTGCAACACAATAACGATCGAGTGACGACTTTCGGAAGGGGTGGGTGTGCGGCTACGAAGGAGAAGGCAAGGGAGCAGAGGTAGCCTGTCGAAATCTGTGTTTGGAAATAGAAGCGCTGAATGATGGAGATTTGGCGAGAGAAAGGGCAGGCAAAGCTGCAGGGGAGGGGTAAGGAGGAGAAGGAGGGGTCATGTCCAGGTTGGAGCGTCTGAGTCCACCATGGCCCTGTGTCGTAATTGACGTTTTGGCAGCTGCGTCTGAAGTCCACTTGCACCTGCCTGCCACTGCCTGTTCTTCTTGCCCCTCCCCTCCGGCTCGCCTACCCTACAGCCATTTGGTTGGGCACTCTACGAACAAAGGCGGGTGCGATTGAGCTTCAGTGGCTGGTGGGCCCGCTTCGGCGCCGCTCCGGATACTAGCGACCAAAGTACAGGATCACCGGCGGAGTCGGAGGCCGACGTCCGATGCGGCTTATGTAACTTGTCTCAGGTGCATTTCCGCACCTTATGCTCAGCCCGCGCGATGATACCAGCACTGCCGCTGAATCATCGTCGACTTCATTTCGGGACTCCTGGATGCCCTCTCCTAGCCTCTACCGCTAGCCTATTCTCTCTCTTCCCCATTCCCTTGGATTCTCATGCCATCTGTTCCTCCCGCTCCTTCTCGCTCGCTCTCTCTCTCCCTATCCTTGTCATCCCAAATCGATCCAGCATCTAAAGCCACACCCTGCGTCGCGCTCAGACCCTCGCTCCACCCGCAGCAGTTCGCAGCCCGCCAGCATGACAGACAGGCATGCTCTCTAATAAGGTATGCTGCCACTTCGGCCCCGCCCCTGCCCTGGGGGGGCCGACCGACCATGTCATCACATCCTGCGTAGGCAGGCCCGCGAATAGCGCCATACCCTTCTCCTCCCAGCAGTCATCACTTCTGTACAACCCGCGTCCATGGCCCTATTCGGCTCCCCTCCCCCATGCTGACCTCCTGCCTGTCATCACGTCGTATCACGGTTCTCCCCGCCCAGGGCCGCCGGCCTGTCCCCCCCGCCTCCACGCGAGATTCAGGTGAGCCGAATTGCAGGGCCACGACGTTCGCACGCGACGGCCCAGCCGATCGCGAACCATGTTCTTACAAAAAGCAGGAAGGGGAGGGGGGGCCGGGGGAAGACCTGCATCGTTTAATCTCCGGCCTTGCCAGTGACAATGACGAGCTGGCTTATTCCGGCCTGACTAGGCCCAACGACGTTGGCTTGTCAGTCTCGGCAGTTTGAACTCACGGTCACGCTGCATTTTTCACCATGCGCGCCCGCTGGTCGGCGTTCGGGAGAGGGCATCCGAGGGGGATAAAGGGGGGAGAGGAGGTCTGAGGGAGAAGTCACGTTGGCTCGCATGAAGTACGACGAAATGAGAGCTGACATTTGACAGGCATGGTTGACATCAATGTTTTCCTACTTGAGATCTCGCTACCAGACCTGCTCTACAGAACCAGCTGATGCTGCTGCTGCCCAATGCCCAGCTCGAAACCTGCGGAGACCTTACCGCCCTGTGTTGAGGGAGCTCTTAGGATCAAACTCGTGGCTCGTGATGAGGGCAGGGTACTCGACGCCTCCCTGCCTCAACGCCTCATCCATGACCTCCATGATGACGACGCTCTCCTCCCACGGCATGCCCTCGCTCTGGACTTTGCCGTCGCGCACGCACCGTGCCGCCTCGTCCGCCTCCCAGAAGAAGCCGTGACCCCAGCCGCCGCGCGACTCATCCTTGGGCAGCGGGCACTCGACGACCTCGACCTCGCCCTCGGCGGCCCCCTTGCGCACGACGCGGTAGCTGTCGGGCCGGAACGCCGGGTGCGCCACCTGGATCTCGCCCTTGGAACCCTGGATGCGGATGCCAGGTGTCTTGCCGGCGCCCGAGGCGTCCGTGTCGGCGCGCAGCGAAGTCGTAGCGATGCCGAGAGTGTTGTGCTTGGGGAAACGGACGATGATGGCTGTGCTGTCGTCGGCGCCGGTGGCGGCGTACTTGTTTAGGGCGGCAGTGACGACAGGCTTCTCCTTAGCGTCGGCGGCCTGCAGGTGGTAGAGGATCTGGAAGACCCAGGTCAGGGAGTATATGCCGAGGTCGAGAAGGGCGCCGCCGGCAAGGTCAGGGTTGACCATGCGGTGCGAGTCGGCAAAACTCAGACGGCCAGTGTCGTGGTCCTCGACATTGTTGAAGGACAGGTCTGCGGTGACGCGGGAGACGGTACCGATCTCGCCAGCCTGGACGAGCTCGCGGACCTTGAGGCTCAGGGGCTGGTAGCGGGTCCAGACGGCCTCCATGAAGAAGAGGTTCTTCTCTCGGGCCGTGGCGACGAGACGACGGGCCTGCTCGGCGGTGACGGTCAGAGCCTTCTCACAGAGGACGTGCTTGCCGGCACGCAGGGCCAGCATGGCGTTCTGGAAGTGGTGGGAGTGCGGGGTGGCGACGTAGATGATATCAACATCGGGATCGGCAACGAGCTCGGCGTAGGAACCGTACGTCTTAGCCTCCTGGGGGCCGTCAATCTTGGTGAGGAAGTCGCGAGCCTTCTGGGCATCGCGGGATGAGGACACGGCGACGATGCGGTGGGCAACGTCAGACACATCGCGGGTGGCGGGGTTTGTCAGTAGGTCCTTGCTGAAAGCTTTATCATGTCAGCTATGATCATCAGGCCTGGCGGCGATTCGAGAGACGACTCACTCTCAGCGATCCAGCCGGTGGCTAGGATGCCCCAACGCAGAGTGAAAGACATGGTGGGGGTATTGTTGTGGTCGGGTATTTGGCGGCACACGATGCTCGATGAACGCAGCAGCGAAAGGATTGCGAGAAAATGCGCAGCAGCACCTTGTTAGGTATGTCAGGATTCAAGCAGCAGAGGACTGGTATGGACACGAAAATGCTGTCGTCGTCAAGATGGAGAGCTGCCCTTGTCCCCTATTTTAGGTCGGAAGCTCCTCATCCATGCGGGGTAGCTCTGGTTGTCGATGCGACGTAACAGCGAATTGGAGACACACAATCACCACCGGCGGCGGCCCTCCCTTCCACACAAAGACCATACCATCATGAGGCGGGGGGGAACAGTCCCGATACTCCGCGAGCTCCATCGAAAAGGATCGAGGCCGTCACTTAGTGCTGTGTAAACCGGGTAAATCCCGGTAGCAGAGGGGGAAACGAGCGGGAAACGGAGGAGAAGTGCCTCACCGTGCGACTCACCCGCGTAGCCCCGCGCTAAAAGTCATGTAGGTTGGATGGATTTATCATCATGCAAATGTTGAGTGTGGTAGTAGCGAACTTGAGCTTGAACATGGTTTGCAGAGGCAACCCTTATCTCCTCGGTGTGAGACCTTTGACCAACGGCTTGTCTGTCAAATGGCAACGTTTTGCAAAGGCAGCAGCAGCAGCTCACCTCGTTCGCAGCTGCCCTCAACCATCTGGTACCCCTCATCTGTATTCTGGCGACGGTGATGTCATCGCCTGTCAGTGGCTCCGTCCGTCTGGACAGGCGAGGCAGGACAGTGCCCCAAGACGAGGAAGGACCACGAGCCTGAGCGGTGCCTTCCTGAGGTGTTCCGGGTTCAAAGACGTGCTGACAGACTTGGCGGCACTTGATCATGCAGACAGACAGACAGACGGTCGCTTGATTCCTCTTCTCCTTGAGGCCGTTTTCCCGGCCTAGTGGGCTTAGAGAACACCATTTCCTCTGCTTCCTGGGCCTCAAGCCTTAAGCCCTGGCACCTTGATGTCGGTCGAATCTACACTTGTAGCTAGCCAGCATCGAATATTATATACTCTTCAACATTCTTCTCCGCCGACAGCCCAAAAGAGAAAGTGTGTGGGACGGCTCTGCCTTGGTTGACCCTCACATTCCAGCAATAGACGGTCGTTTCGTCAAGGAGCGATCCGAGAAGCTCGCCACGGATATACCCAAGAAGTCCAAGAAGTTGGCCCCTGAGACGGCAAACCAACAGATCCAAAAAATCTTCTCGCCTCAGAAACCACCCGCCAATATGGCACAGCCACCACCCCTCGCCGATAATCTTCCCCTCCAGCCATCTCAAAACCCTGCGGCAGTCCCGTTCATCCCTCGACTCGTCTACGGCACAGCCTGGAAGCAGGGCCGGACGACGCCCCTCGTCCTCGCCGCCCTCCGCTCCGGCTTCCGCGCCGTCGACACGGCCGCCCAACCTCTCCACTACCGCGAAGACCTCGTCGGCGCCGCCCTCCAGCAGCACCTCGCCAGCCCCTCGGCGGCGGGGGCGGGGGCGACGGCGGGCGGCCCCGTCCCGCGCAAGCCCATCTTCGTCCAGACAAAGTTCAGCCCCAACCAGGCCACGACGGGCGACGACCTCGAACCCCCGGTGCCGTACCCCGTCGACGCGCCCCTCGAGCGCCAGGTCGACGCCTCGCTCGCCTCGTCCCTCGCCCACCTCGGCGCCGACCACGTCGACATGCTCCTCCTGCACGCGCCCCTGCCCCTGCTGCCCGACACGCTGCGCGCCTGGCGCGCCATGGAGGCCCACGTGCCCCGCGCCGCCCACCGCCTCGGCGTTTCCAACGTCACGCTGCCGCAGCTCGAGGCCATCTGCGCCGCCGCCGTCGTGCCCCCCGCCGTCGTCCAGAACCGCTTCCGCGCCCCCTTTGACGCCGCCGTGCGCGCCTTTTGCCGCGAGCGCGGCATCGTCTACCAGGCCTTCTGGACGCTGACCGCCAACGCCGCCCTCGTCGGCAGCGATTTCGTCGGCGGCGTCGCGGATGCCGCCCGCGTCAGCCGCGAGGTCGTCTTCTACGGTCTCGTCATGGCCCTCGGCGCCTGCGTGCTCGACGGCACCACGAGGGAAGAGGAGATGAGGGCCGATCTCGAGGGGGTCGAGACGCTGAGCCGCTGGGCCGACGGGGATGGGAGAGAGCTCTGGGAGGTGGCTGTCAGAGCCTTCAAGAAGAAGGTGGGCGATGAGGTTTGAGGCAGAGGGGCCATGCCAGACACGGAGCATCGTCAACTCCTCGGCAACGGCAGGTCTTTTTAAGACGAGTTGGTGCTCATTCGGTTTCTTTTCTGTTCACACAAGTCACGTTGAACGAGCCATAGTCATCAAAGAATCTATTCGTAATCATAATCATCCGTCCAACGCCGTCAGCTTGCCCTGGTATCTCTCTGTCGCCAGCTAAAAACTGCCAGCATAACCCAGAACGCCGTCATACCACACACACACACACTCAAAAAGGGTGGCATGCATCACGCACCTCACTCCTCTTCCTCGTTCAGCCGCCCGTCCACCAAAATGACGACCGTCAGCGTCGCCGCGTACGCCTCACGCACCGCGCACCCGACGCACGTCTTGGCCACATCCGCGACAACAGCCCCCAGCCCCCAGTGACTGCACCAGGCCCTCGCAAGCACCTCGTTGTCCGGGACCCCAAACGCTTCAATGACGAGCACCTTCTCGCCCTCTTCAGACTGCTGCGCCGCGGCGCTGGATTCGCTGCTCCCGCTCCCGGGGCCCTGCGCGCGGCTCCCGACGCGTCCGCCATAATACAAGCCACCCCAGTCTCTCACCTCGACGATGCGGTCCACGCGCACCGTCTCGAAAACGTAGTCGAAGAAAAGAGGGTGCGGCCCCCCAGAACACGGCCACGCCGAGACGAACGATACGTCAAAGGTGAGCCGCAACGGCCATGAGATGCCGTCAATGGCAAACTGCACCGTCGCATCGTGCCACGCGGGGCCGTCATCGGCTACGGCGCCCCGAGCGCCCGCTACCGGCTTGAAACCCAGTACCTCTATACGCACACAGTTGTGGTCGGGCAGTTTGTCTTGGTGCGATGGCGATACAAGCTTGTACTCGCTCACCGGGAAGACCTCGGCCGGGGGGCCAAGCGGGTCGGACCTTTCACTCATCGAGGTCATGTCCTCCGGCGCGAGGCGCTGCTTTGTCGGCTTGCGGGAGCGCACGCGCGCAATCTGACTGCGTGCAAGGTCTGGCGAGGGGCGCGCGGGGCCTACCCAACCGGCAAGCGCGTGGCATGTGGGCGCCAGGACCTTGCCAACGATGCACGAGGCCGACCAGTACGTATAGGACGAGCGATGCTGGAAGCCACAGGCCGGGTGCAGGTGCGTCAAAAGCGCCAGCGCGTCCGTAGTCTGGTCAGGATCGACATCAATCAAGGTGTTCATGATGAGGAAGGGAAAGGTTGCGCCGGGCAGGATGAAACCGCTGAAGAACGCAAGAGCATCGGATGAGATGAGGTCGAGTGTGTCGTCGGCGTCGCGACGTCGCATATGGTCCATCGTTTCGGCAAGGTTGGGCCACTTCATGATCTGGGCAAAACGCTTGAGCATGCGCATTTGTCGCCGGCGCAGCTTGTAGCGGAGTCGAATTTCAGTCGCGTTACGGCCCCATGACTCAACACGAACGTTCTCGCGCCAGCGCTTGGCGAGAGCAAGATCCCACCGTATCTTGGGTGGCAGCTGTGTTAGCAGCTTCTCCTTGGCCCACTCGCCGTGAGAGCGGGCCTGGATGCGGACCTCAAGCTCGAGAGCGAGTAGCAGCTGGTGGCAGAAGCGCAGGTGGCGGTCGGCATTAGCGGGATCCGTGTCAAAGATGAAGCGAGCGGCGACCTGGTGACGTGGATCGGAGAAGTCAGTCCAGTGCAAGGGGCGGGAGAGCACCATGATGAGATCGGTGATCTGGCGGTCGAGGGTGCGGTGTGGGTTCGGAGTGTTCCGATCTGGATCGCGAAGGAAGCGGCGATAGAGACTGCGATACATGCGCTCTTCGTTGTCGTCGATGCTGCGCGAGGACTCAAGTTCCTTCAGACGTGCGAAGATGGTAGGCAGATCGACGTTGCGAGGCTGTATACCCGAGTCGCGCAATGCAATTGTAGGAGGGAGGTTACTCGACGAGGAGGCCCACTGGTTGAGGGTGACGGTGCCAGGGAGCCGGCCAAAATAAAACGCATAGGAAGGCTGTTCGAGAGTATCCCAGGGATACGCCGCGGGATCGGAGCGGCCAGACCCTGACCCCTGAATGCGCAAAGTCATGAACTGGGTCATGGAATCGTGCGGATTTGCAGTGTCAGTCTCGTCACCGTGATTCCCAGCAGATGTGGTATACAGCGCGAAGTAGTGGTCTGAGGCATGGGGGATGAGTCGTTTGTGGCCCTTGTGTGCGGGCACGCCTCGTGAGATGAGCTCCATGGCGTGCCCGAGTTTCAGTTCCTCCCGGCTGCCCAAGTTGGAAGGGGGCCAGGAGGTCAGTGGTGGCCTTTGTCGGAGGCTGTCATTGCGGTAAGCATCACGGTCCCGGCTCTTGGCGCCGGAGCCGGAACGGCGGGGGCGATCGCGGGACGTGCTGCTCGGTGGTGAGTCGCGGTCAGAGTCACGGCGGCGATCAGGTGGCGACGAGCGGCGCCTGCGCGGTCTCGCCTCGCCCTCGCTGACTCTTCGGGGTTCAGGGTCCTGGGGAATTGGTTAGCTGTGCGGCATGGGTGCACATTGACGGGAGAGACGAACTGTTTTGGCCGTCTTTCGCGCAAGGCTTTTGCTCCGGAACAGGGCGCCCCAGAAGCCTTTCGTCTCCTTGGTGTCGTGGTCGGTCATGGCCGATGAAGCCGGAAGTTTATGGAAGAAAAGGAAATAAGCACAATGTGTGAATGAAAGACTACTACAAAGAGATGCAAAATGAATGAGGCAGCCAAGGTTGCGAGTCAATGTTTTGCAAATCGTTGCGGTGGTCCAGGGGCAGGAAGATGGGTGAATTCGTCAGACGTTGTGGCTGCGCAATCGCGAGGCGCACATGGAATGAGCCTGTCTCGTTTGTCACTGGCCGACTCGAAACATGGACCTAGATCGTCTTTGGTTTGTTGTCTTTGCTGCCCTTGATGCGGCTGAGCTTCGGAGGGATATCGATAGAAGATGTTCGAGGCACAAAGCATTGTCGGTGCAGTCGACAGTAAGTGCGGGTTCTGTGGCAGAGGGCGAAGACGCCGAGGATGGAAAGGAATTCAATTAATCTGGCGATATGTACATGGTGGACGTGGCCGACTGGCTGACTGGCTGACGAGTGACGAGTGACGAGTGACGAGGGAACGGCCAAGAGGTAGGGTTCGTTTCTTGGATTTCTTGGAAAATGCAGGGACGAATGGGCCGCCGCCACCTGATGCAGCTGATCAGTAGCTGTGGTCAATGAGTGGTGGGTGATGTATGGATGCGGGTTGTCAGGCTGATGAGGGAGGCTAGATGTGGTAGTGAATGGTCCGGGATGGATGCCTGGGGAACCCCCCCCCCCCTTCGAGGAGGAAAGGGATGGCGATGGGAGTTGAGGCGGTGAGCATGAGCCACTGGAACCCGCTGAAGGAAGATGCGGTGGTCAGTGGCTGGGGCCCTGTACTCCTGCCTCATGACGCTGTGGTGCCCAACCACCTCATCTCTACAATGCCGCTGCTGCATCTCATCGTCCACTGCATTAAATGTAAGAAATCATCCTTGCCTTCTAAAATTGGTTCGACTTCTCATTAACGTAGGGGAGAGAACAGATCCTCCAGCTGCTGCATCTATTGTACCACATTCCCCGAGAATAGACTCTGCGTCCGTCTGTAATCGAAAGTTTCGATGCTACCATCAGATCACGAGGTTGTAATATAGGTCAGGCAGGGCAAGTAAACTCATCTTTGAACAGCCGATACCAGGAACCAACACGTGAATGTTGATCCCGCTCGTCCTTCATTTCCATTCGCGCTCATGCTGTCAACCATAAGGCTAGAAGCGAGTGAACAATGCAGTCGTCGTCATGAGAGAGTGTCATTATTATTATCATCAAATGTCCCATCATACACCCCATCCTTGTATAGACCGACCCACCGGCCTTTCCATCCGTGTTTCTTGCAACCCTGGGCTCGAACCTCAGGCCTTCTGCGCCTCAGGCCACGAAGACAGAGCCTCATCCACCTTCTTGCGGTACTCCTGCTGCGTGCGGCACTGCTCAAGGAAGACACCATACTTGGCATCCAACAGAGTCTTCTCGTTCTTGTTCTTGCCCGGCTTCACCAAACGACCGGGTTTGCTCATGCGGTCCATAATGCTCCAGAGGCCCTCGGTGCGGCCCTCCTCGTCGGCACTGCCTGCCTTGGCACCGAGCATGGCAGCGCCGTGCACCACGGCTGCGTTGACGTAGCGAGGGATCAACACGGGCATGTCACATGTAGTCGCCAGCAGGTCCATGAGCACGGGGTTCTGGCACTGCGAACCGCTCATGAAGATGGACGAGATGACGTGGCCGGCCTTGTTCATCTCCTCGATGATTTGGCGCGTCTGCATCGCGATAAACTCCATCACACCATAGTACCACAGCGCGAGGTTGTCGGTGCTCTTGTCGCTCGACAGACCAATGACGGCACCCTTCATGTTGGCGTCTGCGACGGGCGAGCGGTTGCCCCAGAGGTCGCCGTACAGAAAGAAGTGGCGGCCGAGGTATGAAATGGTTGGCGCGCCCTGCTTCTCGACCATTTGGGCGAGGTGCGAGTTGAGGTACTCGTAAATGTTCTTGCTCTCGGCTTGCGCCAGCGCGTTTGTCTCGCCGTAGGCGGGGTGGATGTCGACGACGTGACGCAGCAGTTCGCCCGTGGCCGACTGGCCACCCTCAGCGAGCCAGTGTCCTGGGATCAACACGTCGCGATACGGGCCCCACACGCCAGGAACGAAGACGGCGTCCTTGGACATGGCAATGTGGCAGGTCGACGTACCGGCGACGGCAGCCAAACGGCTGAAGGCCTGGGAAATATGGTTGGGCTTCTGGTCCTCGTCGAGGTGGTCGGATGAGACTTCGGGGTCAATCTTTGCACCAACAGTGCCGATCCAGCCGGCGTATGCGTCAATGACACCGCTACCGATAGCGATGCCCTCAGGAAGGCCGAGTTGTTCGGCGGCCTTCTTGCTGAGATATCCGACCAGCTCACCAGCGCTCAGATACTTGCCATTCTGCAACATGTTAGCATTGTGATTGCAGTGTTGACAAGGACAGTCGGTGGTTACCTCTCCGTCAGCACCTCCAAGGCGCTCGAAGTTGTTCTTGGTCAAGTCACCGAGCCCGATAGTGTTCAGGAAATCCTCCTGCCAGCCCTTCTCGCTACCGTCAACACCGATAGGCACGAATCCCTGCTTGCAGACCGTGCTGCAGTAGCTCCTCGTCTCGTTGCCAGTGGCGAGATGGGTCAGGGCATCAGTCAAGTCGTAGAACTTGCAGCGGTCAAACAGCTCCTTCGGCATGTTGTTCTTGAGCCACAGGATCTTGGGCATTTCCATCTCAATGCTCATGCGACCGCCGACGTACTTGAGTAGGTTATGATCAGTGGCATTGATCTTTTCGGTCTCCTCTACGGGGCGGTGGTCCAGCCACAAGACGACGTTGCGATCGGCTCCGTCGGCATTGTCAAAGGAAGGACCGGTGACGGCAATGGGTTCGTCCGTGTCGTGACTGAAGACGGCCAGCGAGCAAGTGGCGTCGAACCCAATGCCCTTGATCTTGGAGACGTCGACGCCGGACTCCTCAACAACGCGCTTGACACAGATGCAGATGCAGTTCCAGATGTCAGTGGTTGATTGTTCCTACGCTTGTTAACGGGAAGGTTCTGTGAGATGCAGCTTTCGCTTCTTGAGGCAGTGGAAGAGAGGGCGGCTCACGTAGTAGCCTGTCTGGGGCTGCCACAGCTTGATGGTCTCAGAGGCCAGCGACTTGATGTCGCCCGTCTCGTCAATAATGCAAGCACGGGCAGAGCCGGTACCGACGTCAATGCCGATGAAGTGGTTGTTGGTGTCGTGTCGAGCTTGCGCGCCTGGGCGCTCCCAGTAAGAGCCACGGGACTCGAGGGTCGGGCGCGGGGCGCTGTGTCATGTTAGCACCAAAGGTTGCTCGTGAGGCTCAAGGACGAGCTCAATGGAGCGATCGCGGTGACTGACTTCAAAGAGGCCATGGCGACGGGAAGTAGCACAAGGCTACGGGCGAAGGTCCTCGTGGAGAGGTGGCTTGGAGGGGTAGCTTGGAGGGGTAGCTCGTGAGTCGTGGGCAGGGTAGATTGCTGGTCGAGTTCAAGGGGTTTTCAGCGCCGTTTCGGTCAAAGTGAAAAGGCAAGGGGAAGAAAGAGGAGGAAGGAAGACAAGAGGGAATCAGGCAGGAGCTCGGGGGGATCCTGCTAGTTGTAGCAGCGGCGTGAAGATCGTGAAGTACCGTCTCTAGTTTCTGGCGTCCGAACGGTCGGGGCGGCGTCCAGACGGCTTAGACGGTGGAGATGGGCGACAGGGTGAGCAGTGACGGTGGCCCCGAGCTCCCAGTGCCCCTCCACACCTCGCAGCTCCCAGTACTCCATCAGGGTCTCGTCGGTCAATCAAGCAAGCGAATTGGGGTGGGGAACCTGGGAGAGCCTGAAGCCATGGCTTCTAGGCGCATCGTGCCACAGCCTGGCAAGATCGTGTTGGTGGTACATTGGAATCATCGAGGTGTTGTATCAACTGCTCATTTCCCACGGAACAGCTTATACCGGACCTGATCCGACAGCTCCTGAGCCTTGGTCACCAACTCTTTACCCCTGGTGGCTTGATGTGCCGTGCAGCGGGAGCCAGGGACAGCAGATCAGGTTCTCAGCCGCAAGCGTCACCGTTCCTTCCGCCACTACTGCGTGCCCAAGATGTAGGTAGGTACAATGTCCAGTCAGTGCCTGATGCGCTGACAGCCCGAGACCGGCCCCGGCGGAACGGCAAGCGCACTGAACGGTGGCTTCCCAGGACAGAGCAGGTTGGTTCCAAGATCAACGGAGGGGGCAAAGGGGCGAAAAAAGGGACCCTTGTGGCAAAACACCAAAGAAAAAACACAATCACTGTCTGAAATCCAGCCTTGGACCCCTCCACCCCCTCCACCGCAACCCCACAATACCCATGCCCTCGAGCTTCAACCCCCCCACGTATTCTATCCTCCTTTCAGAACCCCCCAAGCCTCCAAGCACTTTTCAGCGTATGCGACCGCTCCAGCCCTCCATGCCCAGCCTGCACGCCGCGCCGCCTGCAGCTACGCGGCAGCCAGAATCCATCTCAACGGGATCATCCCCTCCAGCAAGGAACTCACGAGATAAAGTACTGGTCACGCTGATCCTACCTCCGGCGAGACGAGACACACACAAAGGCCCTTCCCCGCCATCCCACGATGCGCACCCTCTCGGCAACCTCAACCATTTCTGACCGCCTTTCCCCATGCCCGGTAGCCGATTTGACCAGGCGAGAGCGCAGAGATTTCACAACTCCATCGTACCGTTCTGTACCACTGAATCCGAAGGTCGAGATCTACCGTTCCCAGTCATGACCATCAGACGGAAAAAGAATGCGATTCCTGGACGCGGGCTTGCAGCACACGAACAAGGGGAGACCGCCTCCTCCCTAGCGTACAACCAAGGCGACGGCAGACAGGGCACCACAGACGCGAAAGCTCCTGTGGGGATTCCGCTTCTAGGCTCTTAGCCCCCCTCTGTCGTCAGAGCCAAACACTTGTCCCATGCCCCGTACTCGGCCCCAAGGAAAAGAGGGGATGCTGAGCCCCGCTGACGTTGTCGAACTGATGATCTTTACCTGCCCTTCATCGCCTCCGAGCGCTGAACGGAACCTTCGAGTCATCGAAAAGTGGGAAAAGCCTGATCAATGGCTCCGACGGGAGCGGTGGGACAAAGGCAAGTCGGAACATATGGCTACAATGCCGCTGCTTGAACCGAGTACTCCTCCAGAGCCTCACGTGAAGAAGAACACAGCAAGACGGGCATGAAACTCGTGGGTTCAATTAAAATCGGCTATCGGCTTGGAACCACCGTCTATTTCGCCCTGGACCCTATCGAGACCCTGCCTTGTATACTTTCGAACCACAAGGTCCATTACAGATGCCGCTCTCCCCATCGTGGCGGTCGCCAAGCCATGATCCTGAGCCAATCCCACACCCGACTCCGTTGCCGATCGCTTCTCGGCTGCCAACCATCTCTCGCCTACATGATCCGATGTGCGGCGGACCATCTCCAAACGCGCTCTCCGCTGTCTGACTCCGGCGCTGGGCCTGGCCTGGCACGTGCAACGTTCTGGAACGAAATCAACCATGTGAACGCCTTGACACCTCCTGAAATTGCTTCACGATGCACCCATGATGACCAAGTTGTATTTTGTCGATGAAGGTCTGTTCCCTTGTGTCCTGTGCGAATTGCAGGATGCCTCGGACTTCGCACACCACTCAACCATGCTAGTCTGGAGAGGGTTCTTTTCTTTCCTGAATATTTGCAAGTCATTTCCTTCGATATCTGGAGACGAGGCGTTGCTATAGTGCTGTAGTCATGTCTATTCGTCTGCTGATGCGCTTGTATTATCTGCAAGGCTTCTTCTGGCTCATGCAGATTCCATCTTGAGCCGCCTCGCATTCTTGAGTTCGTCCTGTCAAGAAACATCAGCCTCTCCCCCTCAGGAATCGCAGATCAGGACAGGCCACTCACCTCCGCCTTGCGCTTCCCTAAGACAGGCTCCGGCGTCCCCCTCGCCGGCGTGGCGTCCCGCACCATTGTCGCTTCAGCATGGCAGCTCGCATGATAAGCCCTGTTCCCCACGAGCTTGGCATCCAGCCAAACCCACTCCTGCGCCGTGTCGAGCCACTTGTTCTCGAATTCCTCCTGGCAGATCGGGCACGTCGTGTTGACCCCCGCCGAGGCATCAGGCACCGCAATGTACGGAACCTGCGACGAGCCCTTCCCGCCGGCACCGCCGCTACCGTGGGCCCCGCTGTCTTGTCGTGCCGCCGCCTCGGCTGCCTCCTTGGCATGGTCGGCGTCCACAACCTCGCGCGAAGCCACCCAGTCCGAGTGGTCTACGTACCAACTGCGATGCTGCCCGCGGCGCTCTGCTTCCGCTAGGCGGTGGTGGACTTGAAAGTGCCAGTCCATGTGCGCCGTCTTCTTCTTGCGCCCGTCCTCGTCCTTCGTGAACCGTCGACCGCACTGCGTGCACTGCGGGCCGAGAGCATCAAAAAGGGACGGAAGTAGATGAGCGCGAAACCTGAACCGAAAAGTCAACCTTGGGATCTCGAGCGTGATAATGTAAAGGATACGACGTACTCTTGCTTTAGTGACGTTGAATTAAGCTGTATTTGGTCCATCATACGCACGGAGAGCGGCAGGTTACTGCCGCTAAGCAAACTCGCGATGTTTGGAGGTATGATACCTGCCCCTGGCGGCGGTACCCCTCCGGGTGGCGGTGGAGGAGGAACACCCCCGAGCGATGGCAGAGACAGCCCAGGGTGGGGCAGGTTGGGTATTGGTGTCGGTACCGGCGGTGTAGTCGTAGGCGTGCCGCCCAGGAGGCCGGCCATGCGCAGACCGGCGAGCAACGCCATCGGATCCGGGGTCGGTGCCGCGCTAGACTGTCGTTGCGGCTCGGCCACGGGCGGCTGAGGCGATCGAATCGGCATGCCGGCATAAGGCGGCGGAGCTGGCGCCGGCGTTTGCGCCTGCGGCGTCGCAGACTGCCGAGCCAAAAGACTCGCCAGCGCGCCCTGGCCAAGCAGAGAATCAAGTGTGACTGAAGCTGGCTGCGGCGCTATATGCGCCACGGGTGCAGGCGGCGGTGGGTGATATGATACGGGCGTAGCAGCAGCGATAGGGGCAGAGCTTGGGACCGACTGTGGCCTCACTTTTAAAGCGAGATCGGCTACTTGATTTTTAATGAGAATCAAATGATCCTGCGGCATGTCCTGGGTTTGAAGCAACCTTTGTAAATCATGCAACCCCTGCAGCCTCGCCTTAATAACCCCATCGTGCGGATACTGCGCCGCTTCCAACGCGGAGGCGGCGATGAGCTCCTGGATGTCATGTTTCAACACGGCAATGTTCACGGAATGATGCTGCGACGGCGACGCCTGAAACGGTGTAGGGACAGCAGCAGTAGGCTGGAGGCCGCCATATGCCTGTGGCGGCTGCGCGTTGAGCGGTCAGCAAAAATGGTGCGGTATTCTGGTTCACATGATGACTTACGGGATAGGGTGCCGGTGCCTGCTGTTGTTGAACGCTAGATGGCCGGCTGCCGTTGAGCTGTTGCTGCTGTGCATGAGGTGGCGGGCCAGGATATCCGGGTTGGCTCGATCCTGGCCTCATGCCGGGTGGTGTCGGCGTTGCCCTATGAATTCCTGCGCCACGGGCTCTACCCACGGGGTGTCCACGACCTTGCGCCTGGAGGGCCAAAGCTGAATTCCGCGCTTTGTTCAACGATTCCTCGATCGGCTTCGTGACTTCTGGCGGGAACACAGGCCTGTCGTCGAGCGACTGAGGCACAGGTTGCTTCCACGTCTGCAGCGTCTCCTCCATCTTGCGACGGACATGGCCGTCCACGGCAGCATAGGCCTCCATAAAGGTCTGGAAAAGCTGAGCTCCAAAAAATAGAGTGTAGGGTGTGCCGACGTTTTTTACGATCGAGTCGAGAACATATATAGCAGGCAGCTTCTTGTGCGCCGGTGCCTGCGGACCATGTCAGCATTTGTAGGGTCAAGGCCAAGTATACCAGAGACTGAAGCGCAAAAGTCTGCGCAATTTCGCGAGGAACGGCTTGTGGCTTACTTTCATGATATGCCTCTGAAGAATATCTGTGATGATTTGGGCGTGCTCGGTATTCTCTCGCGCAATAGTCGTCAACGTGCTGATGTCGGCCCTGTTGGTTGAGTTCAGATCCTCCAAAGCCTGCTTGTAGTCCTCTGCCACGTCGGCGCCCGACTGTTCGTTGTGGGACATGGCGACGAGCACGGAAACACGCTCTCCAAGAATCAGAAGTGATGCTTGCAATGTTGCAACTCGCTACTTGCCCAGGATACGAAAAATGGCCGTTGGCCAGTTGGCAACGAATCCTGCCACCGGGCGAGCCAGAAAACACGTAAACTGTGATCACCGAAAACACTGGCAGGAAGGAAGATCCCCAGCCTATTTTGTATGGAAGAGAAAGAACGCGCGATGGCGCCCTCTAGCAGCACAGTAATGAGCGGCCTTATTGGGGACGTGAACGTGGAACAGGGCGCACAATCTTGCTTGCTTGCTTCAATTCTTGCGTCCAACCAGATCCTCCTGATCGAATTACCACCGCAGAAGCCCAACCAGTCCACACAGATCAACGAGATGCCGACAGGGTATCACCCTGCGGCTGTTTGTTCGGAGAGGATGTCAGGATGACAGAGTTGTTTGGCTTCGAGTCGAAAGGCGCAAGCAAGGGTCGCGTGAGTGGCAGATCGTGTCGGGATCGGAAGTCGACGTCGAATGCCTGCCGAAAAGCAATGGCTCAATGATAGGAGCGCCGCGATTACAAAACAGCGAACACAATTACAGCTACAGCCGCATCGGTGCTTGAGGCGAGTGAAAATGAAAGGATGCTGTTGGGTTAGCTGTCGAGGTTGGAAGAATGGAAGTGGAGGCAGACGTCGCAAGAAGTTGGAGTACCTAGCGACAGCTACCTGATCAGTCAGTCGCAGACACAGACGGAGCAGGTGACGCTAACTTGATCCGCCCTGTTGTCGACTTGCTTTGCCTACGCACATCACGTGAGCGGCCATAGACATGGTGCATACAGTGCGTATGTTTCTTGCTCAAATCTAAGCACCGTGCTTCTATACTCATTACATCTGGCGAAATACAGGCCTTCGCTATGCAGCGCTTGACAAGCTGCCGCCCTGTATTTAAGCTTGTACGCCTTCGAGTGTCAGAGAGTCAACATTGGAATACCACTTTTTTTCAACATTGCACACCACTTGGTCATGGGAACTGCAAAGGCTTGGTAGGACACCCATCGAGACTGCTCACCCTCGAGCTCAACACACAAACCAAGAGAATGACTCAATACTAAATCAAGTTGATTTGCGGCGCCGTTACTATTCTCAAGAGCAGCGGAATTAAGCACACCCCATGACATCTGGGTATTCTGTAAAAAGTACAACGCTATCAAAGAAAGCTAATGTCCTGAACGCCGTCTCACCAGCCTCCATCCACTTTTTCTCTCCCCCGGCCATTCGTCTAGAAGCGGTTCATGTGGCTCGCCTCGCTGTAGCTCGTGAAGCGAGTGTTGATGGGATGAAGCGCTGTCGGCGGACGTGCAACTTCGGGCATGATGGGGCTCGACCTGTCCTCAGGATAGGGGTTGCTATGCTGGTCGTCGTGACCCTTCGCCTCGACGTCATCATCCGCGACGCGGATGGGCTTGCTGATCTTGAGCTTGCCGCTGGCAGCCCATGGAGCGATCTTCTGCGTGAGCCGACGGAAGGACTTTTCGTTGCGAACTGAGTTGGAGCGCGTAGAATAGGCGTCGGTGAAGGAGTTTTTTGTGGACGAGGTCGCAATGGCGCCGTCGCTGCGGATGTTGCGGGCGGTGATGCCGTTGTCCGAGTCGCGGAAGACAAGAGAAGAGACAATGTTAAAGAAGCCGAAAGTAATGGAGAGAATGCCGGCCGCAAGAACGAGGCGCCAGAGATGGGGGCCCATGTTCTTAGAGGTGACAGAACGACGGTTGAGGTTCCCCAGAATGTGGCACCCCATCACCACCATGGCAATGCCGAGCCAGGTCAGACCGTGGTAGGGGGAGAGAATGGGCCAGCGTGTGGCAAAGTAACGCTTGAAGAGGTTCAGCTCCGAGCAGATTAGGAGAGCTGCGGTGGCAGAGGTGAAGGCATGGGAGATAGCCTCGAAGAAGAAGAAATTGCCCGTCAGACCAGACATGACAATGAGGACCCAACTCGCGACGGCAACGGCGAGCAGACCTATAATGTTGAAGGCGCGGAAGACATTGAGGATCAGGTGGCCTGAGCCACGCAGACGGGAGTTCTCGGAAAGATTAAACATCTTAGAAGGCCTGGTAGGATGTAGCGGTCTTCGGCATGTTAGTCGGGCCATGCAGCGCTGGAGTCAAGGTACCTTACGATATTGCAGACGAGTCACCTAAGAGATGGTCTGGGGGGCGATGATATGCTTCAGTTTGATTTTCTGTACTGCAGCCCTTGGTTGATCGATGGTGATTGAAATGATAGTGAACGTTTTGGAAGCCAGGGTGAAGGTTATGGAAATTCAGAGTAGAGAGAGGATTGGAAGCCAGTCCAATGGTAATCTCAAAGAAGGTTATGGGTCAGCTGTACAATAAGGAAATAGAGGTCGAAGGAAAGATTGTCGTAGATCAGTGCATTGTTCAGGTCGTGAATAAACCAAAAACCTCTCTTTGCAAGGCAGTTGGAAGGAATTGTCGTGATGGTAGGCACAAGAGGAGACAAAGGGAGTCGCTGCCTTTAATAGCGTTCATGCCTATTGTACAGGACGCAGTTTCATTCGGGACCAGGCTCTGCAATCGAGACATCTAAGTAGAAGAACAAGTAGTTTTCAGCGCGTCACGTCCAATCAATTCGGCGGCGCGAAACAATTGTCGCCAGAAGCCTCAGGGGTCTCGTCCGGGTCAAGCTCGCTGCCCTCCCTGTCCGGTGCGTTCTAGAGCCCGCTTGAGCGGCAGCTCGCATGTTCAATGCTTCTTCTTGAGTCACTCCCAGGCATTCGGAGTCCGGGCAGGGTCGATGTCGGCGCGTGCTGTGAGGCAGAGGAACCGATCTCGACTCGACGGCAAGTTATTCCCATACTCAAAGGCAGCAAGGTATGGTCAAAAGCCACGAGAAGCTGAGAAGAGCACACAGAGCTGTCAACCAATCGAGTCATCGGTACCTGGCCCGTCTTCGACAGATTGAAGCCCTGGGCAAAATGGATTGACAAGGGATACGTGGGACGAAGTCGAAAGAAGACTCACGTTGAGCGGTTGCGCGGTTGTGATTGGATGTCAGCCCCATGTATCTCGTTTCAGGTCCGGCTTTAGCCCAACGACCGCAACCGCCGGCCAAAAACCCAACCTCAACCACATCATGCAGTAGATATTTCCGACCTTCTGATGATGGAAGCATGGCAGGCGACAATTCACGTCCACCATAACGCCTCGGAATTTGATGAGAGAGGTGCCAGAGAATCCCCGTGACCCGCATCGGGAACCGAAGCGCAGCTCAGCCATGGTGCAGAGGCTTGCCACCCTTGTCTGTTCTGGCCTCAACATGTGCGACAACCTGGGACAGACGACCGAAGAATGACGCTTGACAAAAAAAATCAGGATCAGATGGCGGGTCGAAGATCTAACGACATACGGGCACTTGTCCTGGAGCATAGTCATGCATGAACACTGCTCATTTTGCTGTGAAATATTCTTGACGAGATAATGAGATCCTCTTCTCAGGGCGCTAAACAGCTGGCGCTTCGAGGCGGCACTTGAAATTTCAGGTGGCTCGAGCCTTACAAATTTCTAAATGGATCTGTTATCGGCTCCGTGTGGTTCAGTAGCCGCGGTACACTGCTATTGTTGGAATACGCTGCAACCATCCCGACGCATCTACTCAACCATGGATTGTGGGAGTAGCGCCTCGACGGCGAGCTGTTTTTTTCTTCAACGCAGTCAACGTCATTTGAGGAGACTTTACCTTGACCAAATAAACATGCGGGCCCACCATCACGGTCACCAACATCACGACAGATTTAAAACAACCGAAGCCAATAAACGCCTCAGAATGGGATCTCATTTTCCGAGTATCTGAATTCCTGGCCTAGCCGGGCCACTCCATCGCATGATATCAAGGGCCAGAAGCAGGAGCCAATGTCGTAGTACCATCATCCAGGCGCGGTAAACACCATGGCCATCCTCATGAACCGGCACACAGCCTTTTCCATCACCGGAAACAACCTTTTCGCTAGCAGCCGCGGCTGCGAGCTTACCGGTAGCGCCACAGGGAGAGGGTGTTGTGGCGGAGCCAAGTCTTTCTGCGGCCAGCCTTGGTCTTGTTGTAGCGGTGGCCCTTGTTGAGACCACGGGACTTCTTGCCGGTGGCGGTGAGGCCACGCTCCTCGCGGTGCTTGTGGACGGGGGCGACGATCCAGTTGATGCGGGGGTCGATACGGATGGCCTTGTGCTGGGGGTCAACGAGGATGACCTCGTAGTACTTGTAGGTCGAGTCCTGGTTGATCCAGTAGGAGTTGAGGACGCGCAAGTTGGCGCAGCGGCGGCCGACACGGGACTCAGCGGTCGACTTGAGCGAGCGCTGGTACTTCAGCTGGTTGATACCCTGGTTGGTGGGCTTGCCTGCATTATGTATTAGCCATCTGCCATCCCAATATCTCCTGACATCTGAGGTAGCGTACCGAAGGTGGCACCCTTCTTGGCGGGCTTCTTGCGACCACCACGGCGGACGCGGACGCGGTAGATGACATAGCCCTGCTTGGCCTTGTATCCGAGGCGGCGGGCCTTGTCGGGGCGCGAGGGGCGCGAGGCGCGGTGAATAACGTTCAGTTGACGGAGCTATATTGATGCACTCTCAGCAAATGTTCAACGAGTGTATAGCAAAGACGGGAACGCCCAAAATTCCTGGTCCGCCGATGGAGAGAAAATATTTCTCTCGACGACAGACCAGCTAGAAGATTGTTCCCGCCCACAGCCTTGTAGAGTATTCGGGTTTCATCGTACCTCCCAGCAGCGAACGCGGAGAAGGAAGAGCATAACATCGCTCTGCTTCTTCTTCTGAAGCTCCTCGACGTACTTAAGGGCACCCATTTTGGCTATTCGAGTACAAAGGTTAGCCGCGAGTTTTGGAGTGGCAGGCGAATACCACAAAGGGTGCTTGAAGGACTGAACAAACCAGCTTTTCACGTCAAATCCGGCCGCGGAGAGGGTGTTGTCGTGATGGTCGTCGAAAATTTGGACAGGAGGGACCGGGAGAGAAAGTTCGCACACAGGTAAGGTGAGGAAAATGGAATTGAGGCGGTTTGTGGGATAAGCGACACACTAGTTCCTATTAGGCCTAGCGAGTCAGAACTTGCCCCGAGCCCGTGGAATACGGGCGAGAAAATAGAGTGGGTCGGCCCTCGGTCAAGAGGAGGGGCACCAAGGGTTTCACCGAAAGGACTTGGCAATACCCCGACCCTGACTTACACTCTTTGCAGTGAGCTACAACCTCGACCGGGTCATCAAACAGGTCGCAAATTACATGCAGGGAGCAGACTCTTTGTTATTCATCTTTACGACCCATTCGATTGATGGAAGTCCCTTCATACACTTGGAGCTGTGCGCGTCCTGCTCATAAATGATCGGCTTCTTTACCAAGAAGAGTCTCAAATGCATCCAGATGGATCCTGACAGTGCGTCCCCAAGTGTCGTCCAACAGCATCTCTGCGCCATCGAACATCTCGATTGCCATCAAGTCTGTGTCTTTGGCGTTTTCGGCGTCTATCATTGGCAAGCGTGGCTGCTTTACAGGCTGTACCATTGTGTCCACCAATTCTTTGCCAAACTGATTACCCCGTTCAAGCATTTCTGACATGCGCTCGGCATCGTGCAGCCATTCGGGGTCGTCTACATTGGTACTGTCATCCGCTAGTTGCGTGTTGAACTCACGGTAGAGCTCCAGAAGTTGATGACATCGTTGCATAACCCGAGAGCCGATGATGTAGAGCTCCGGCTTCGCCCTCCCATCTCCTACTGAAGACTGGTGAGGTGTTGAAGATGGATAGGTCTGGCTCAGCAGAGCCAGAACCTTTCCCTCTTTTTCCGTGCTATCATGTATCAGCAGATATAGAGCCGCAATAATGTGTGCGAAGGTGCCCACCTCCGCTGTTTCCACTTGCCAACGGCCTCCTGTGTCTCCTCAAAGATGGTCGTTGTGCACCGTTGCACATCGGCAGACCAGGATCCTTTCTCCTGAAAGCCCGGAGAAAGCTGGGGGCTAGAGATGTGATCAATCGCATGACTCCTCGTGCGGACACGTGGTTGACTGACTTTGAGCCAGAAGGGCCATCATGATCCTCGCGGCAGGACCTGGCTCCAGCTTTGTACCCTCTTCTTGACCGACTTTTCTCATCCGCGAGAAGCTCTTCGTCAACATCGTGGGATTTCGGGAGCGTGTACGCCTGTGAATCAATCGTTCCCTTTGATACATCTGTAAGCGTTGCCCGTACCAAGGTGCGAGCTCGACTGTTATCAGGTAGTGTTTCCAAGTGGGCACCCCCTTTGGCTGCTGGCTCAATCAGGATCAACTCATCGTATGGACGAGCGTCGAATCACTACTGACCTCTAGCGGTTGCTTTCTTCCTCGGCGGCATCCTCGGTTATTTCCTTGCCACGACCTTGTCTCTCGGGCCAAGGTAGTGACGTGGGGTTCAGGGTCTGTTCCGCCGAGCCAGCTTGCTTGACGAAGGGTGTACCTTGACAAAAGTTGTGAGCATACATGTGTACATACAACCGAGTTACAGAAAATGGCTTTTGTTGGATTTTATCTGCAGAAGCTGTGGAAGGAGGATACCTAGGCAAGACAAGGGAAGGCAGGTGCTGCCACTACGCACCTGCCCAAACATGAGTGGCATGCTGAAAGTCCCCTTTTCGTGACACAAAACATGCCAGACATGAGGACCAGGACCACCTCTGACGGCATTTGTGCTCTCGCTCCCGCTGTATCAATTATCTGAAGGCATCGAACGAGTGCGCTTACCCCAAGAAACAACTTGGCAATAATTGTGGACGAAGACCGACTGTATGCGACAGTCAGACACACGGAATCACAGCAGATTGGCCAGCCTGCAGGTCGGGTGCCTTGCATGCTCTCGTCGTACAAAGATAAATTCATGCTGACAATATGGCATCCCCAAACGCCGACGTTGCTTGAAAACCTCAACCAAAAGCAATGATGCCCCAATGCCCCTACTATGTACGCCCCCATGCGCGCTGAGCGAAGCCAGCGCGCGGAAGACAAAAAAAGAACCATTTATGGAAAGTAGAGCGTGAAGGCTGATCATGCATTATTGCGCTGAGGAGGGCCGTCTGCCGGCGTATCCTCCCCAGGCGACCCGTTATTCTCCTCCTCGTCGGTATCGTCCGAGATGTCACTAGAGTCGTCCTCTTCCTTACTTGGACCGTCATCAGTGTTTGCACCGACTTGATCGTCTCCTTCAAGAGCGTAACCTGGACATCGCTCGATGAGGCCGCGGTAGTACGCCACCAGTACCTCCGGGTTCGGTACGATCTTCCAGTCGACGCGGTATAGAAACTCGAGCTCGAGGAGCTTGAGCTCGGCGACCTTGACACCGCCCACGCGCGCATATGTAGTGTTATTCCAGAACGAGTCGGACAGACCTTTGGCGGCCACGGTAGCAGCAGTGATGAGGAAGCGGTGCACCGTGAGAGTGTTGATGGTGAATTCGGGGTAGAGGGCGCAGAGGCGATCAATGTAGTAGACCATGGACAGTAGGAGCGGCGGCGTCAATGTCGCATGCTTGGCTAGCCGGTTAAGGTATTCAAGGACGGATATGCTCGGCGCGGTTCTGTGCGCCAACAGGTGTGAGTGCGCAACTCGGAATCAAAGTAATCGCGCATAGGTCGACTTACCTGGAATGAAACCTAGTCAGATTCCCAGACTGTAGAGCAAGCGCATCATTGGTCTCGATCAGCTCGGAGAGCATGTGGGCGATCAGAACCACCATGTCTTCGGTCGTGCCGAGTTCGTATCGTAGAGGCAGGACTTTCTGGGGCGCCGGTGCCGGCCTCTGCCTCTTAGGTGCGTTGGCGGCCTCGGCGTCAGCGATGATGGAAAGATCGGTCTGCGCGTGAGCGCCATGGTCTTGCGACTTGCGACGCTTTCCTGGAGACAGCGTATTGTCGCTGGCTTGCCGCAGTGCAGACGTCTGTGATGCGGGCTCGTTGAGTATGGGCTGTTGGGTCCGTGCTGCCGATGTTAAGGCTACTGTCGGTACGGGCTGCTGAGTCGCAGAGGTCTGCGAGGAAGGTATGGGTGTGTTGACGGGCGGAGTTGTGTCGTCGCGCCGTGCCTGAACGGCAGTGACTGAGGAGACTTCCATCGGAGAGTATTGCGTGGCTGCGTCGACCGCAACATACCGCCTGGGCTGCGAGTGAGGGGATTGTGCCTGCGGCTGTGTCTGGCTATGTTTCGGTAACTGCTGTTGCTGCTGTTGCTGTTGCTGTTGCTGTTGCGTGGGCGAAGTGGAGGACAAAGACTCTGTTGATGAATGGGATCGAGAATGTCGTCGCGTCAGGGAGGCCGATAGCCGGGAGGAGGGAGACTGAGGCGAGGAGCGGGTGGGAGCATAGTGGAAACTGCTAGGTGAGGCATTGGCGGAGCTGTGAATCCTTGGAGATGTTGTCAACATGTTCGCCGGTTCATCGTGGGGTGCTCCCGTCGACGAGAGGCCCCTTGTTCAGGTCGAAAAGAAGCGAAAAGTCTGGAGGTGAGGGGCATGAAGCAGAGGCGCTTGCATCGGACAGTGCCCCGGATGGAAACGAGCAAAGCAGTGCAGGGCAAGACCGAAGAGCATCGATCGGCGGGTGCCAGATTCCCACTGGGCGGGATCCAGGTCGGATTTGCGAACTTTCAGCGTCCTTGCGTGCCTGCCCCTCCACTGACTTGCGGTCGCGGCGGGCCTGGGGTGGTCTGCCGCCACCCCATTCGCCCCACTCCACATGGTGTCAACCCACACGGCACCACGGAAATTTGGCATGGCGGATGACCTGCCAGACAGGCCAGGCTCGTGGCACAATGCGGCGATGGTACTGGACGAACAGGGACAGCACGCTAGAACCGACTGAGCGACAAGCAGGCTAGGATTATGTACCCCAAGTTGACATCTCGAGATCTCGGATTTCCTTTGGAATGGTCGGCGGCCATTTCAATGTGCATTTGAGACGGGCCGCCAATCTTCTTCCCCTGCTCGACACATTGTCTCGTTGGGCTAGACATACAGATAGATTGCCAAATTGTGTGTGGGAGGAACCGGAACCGACACCAGTTCTGCCTAACGTTCAATCAGTGACACTTGGAAACCCTGCTGCTACTGGGCAGGCTACAGGTATCGGAGGCGCCGACTCGTTCACCCATTCTTGACAGTGACGATGCGGCTATTCCGGCAAGCCATCGCACCCCACGTCAAAAAAAAACCTGGCTGCAAATCAAGGCTGGAGGGGCAGTAAACGTGCCCACCACGGTGGGCATAGCGGACCCCTTACACGATGTCTGGGTGGAAGCAAACAAATCATGGTCAAAAAAGGTGAGAGCCAAATGAGACAAACCCAGTCACTCGTCAGTCGGCTCGAGCAAAAAGGACTCCCGAGGTGGGACTCGAACCCACAGCCCTTGGATTGTTATGCTGATGCTTAAAAGTCCAAAGCTCTAACCAATTGAGCTACCCGGGACGTTCTCACATTCGTGTTTGTTGTGCAATGATATAGCTCACGACACCGATCTTCTAATGGATATTCGATCAAAGGCATCACTTGCTAGGCTTATGATTATATTCGGTTTACCGTGACATTGTGTAGCGTATGGATGTTTTTTCTCAGGCACTACTGTTCGCGTAAACTTCCTCTGAAGTACAGGCATCCTGTGTGTTGTCCGATATGATGCCTCATTAGGGCTGAAGTGTTCAGTATGGAACAGGGTTCAATTCGTACAGCTTTTTAAAAATCTCCGATTGCTCCCTTCAAGACTTGAGTGGATTTTCTTGCGCGTTCAGGCCAAGGACGGTCTGGTCATCGCTATGTTGAAGACGTCGGTAGGGAGGGTTGTGTAATCCCAGAGTTATTAGCACGAAACCTGGGGTTCTTGGGGCCAACATGGAGTGGGGCCGCAGCCGTTCAGTTCCGGTGGGGGTGGTCCAGGATTAAAGTCGGTTTGAGTTGCGACTGCACCCATCGACCTTGCGTCACTGAGATACAACTCAACGTACCCAACCAGGTGCGACCGCCACCATCGACTTTTCTTCCATCACATCGAGCGACTATATCGAACGCGACAACTCGCACATATTTTCCCACAATCCCTGATCTGGCACGAAGTAGCAGCGACATTTGTAAACCATCGAGCACCAGCATTATACAGCTTGGTTTCAGCTGTTTGCGAAGCAGCCCAAAACCCATTCCCGACACTTACTAGTCGACAGCACGACAACACCACAGTTTGAAGATACTATATGCAGGTAGTGCGACGCGTCTGTCAACGCAAAGGACGTCTCTACAGCTCCCAACGGACCAAGGGCCTGCCATGGCACGCGACTCGGATCCCCCTCTTCTCGCCTACATCCACAATGCAAGATCCTACGCCGAGCAGACGAACGCGCTCCGTTCACTAAAAAACGACATTGTAGGCCATACTCGGAGGAAGGAAACATGGGTGGCGCTCGGCGCCCTTGACCCGATCGTCAGTATACTACAGTCCAGCAGACTGCCAAACAAGGCCAATGGCGCGCGTCCACAACCTCCCGCCAGCTCGTTGGCATTAGAAGAGGAGGAGAACGTAAGGCTACAGGCATTACAAGTGCTCTCCAGCTTTGCCAATGGTATGGGCATTGACTTGGACGAGGAGACGAAGTTAGCTTGCTGACAGTTAGCAGGCGGCCCATCATACATCGAACCCCTTCTTGCTGCCGACGCCCTGTCCGCCCTGCTGGCCAACACATGCCCCAACACCAACCCGCCGCTGGTGGTTGCGACAGCACTGAGAGCCTTGGTGAACATGACTGAAGCTGCCTCGCTTTGCGTTTCTACGCCTGCAGAGCTGCGTACACTGGCAAACGCCATCTTTGCTCCGGAAAGCATTGAAACACTGGCAAATATTCTGGCACAGGCGGGTCAATGGAGGTTAAATGTCAAACAGCAGCCGGTGTCATTGGTGACCACCTTGATCAGCCGCCTTTGCCAGGATGAACAGCACGCTCTAGCACTGGCTGATTCGCCTGTTCTGGACCTGCTCGCCAAAGAGCTGGCCAGCTTCGCTGTAGCTCATGGTTACGTGATACCAGGAGCAGAATCGTTGGATGGGAGAGCCGAATATATTCCCCAACCGGCGTCCTCTGGATCTAGTCTTGCATCCACCCTTGAAGCATTGACGACTATCGTGTCGGATTCGCGATATAGGGCGTGCAGGTTGCTGTGCTCGCCGCCCGTTCTTGCTGTCTTTCCCAATCTTCAATTTTCACCATCACCACTTACAGCTCGTCCCTGGCTCACTCTCCAAGCTAGCGACTTGAAGCAAATCGGTGCTATGGATACTCTGCTCCCACCAGTTCCACACCATCAGCAGCGAGGGAGCCCACAGGGGACATTCCCTCCTCTTGGTTCGCCTGAGTCTAGGGAGGGCGCCGTGTCATTTTCTCGGTCCGCGTCGAGCAAATTCAGTGATGGCTTGCCTATCACCAACACCTCTCGCCATGGTCCTTCCGGTCAGAACGGGACGTCCGATTCGGAAGACCTCGAAAGCCCTCTCATTCCATGGCTCATTGCCTTGTCCAGGAATCGAAGCGACCTGGAGCGGCTGATGGCAACCAGTCTACTGACATCTCTGGTGAGGTCAGGACTTGGAAAGCGGTCCTTCAGAGAGCCAAGCATCGGTCTACTCGTCGTGCCTCTCCTGTGCGAGATGCTCCATCACTATGAACGGGCGAGCTTGGCCATCGACCTGGCCTGCAGCACATCCCAGCTGGTCGATGCATCCGCCCCGCTGTCATGGGCCATCCGCGAACGAGCTCCAGCTGTCCTCTCTCGTCTCATTACAGACAGTGAGCAACTCCAAAAGGCGGCATTTGATTGTGGCGCGGTCAAGATTCTGAGCCGGTTGATGAAGGATGCCTACGAAGCGGTGCCGCCCACGGCGTTCGCGCGGCCATGGTCTCCAAACCCCGATACAGGTATGGACGTAGAGAGCAGCTCACCTTCATGCCGGCTCGGCGCCGAAGGCCAGCCTCCGCTGCTAGCACACCGTATCAGGATGCGCGAGACCGTTCTCAAGGCCATAGGCGCTCTGGCGGCGGGTAGAGACGAGTATCGCAAAGCATTCGTTGACGCAGACATCATTCCCTTGATTGTCCAATCTCTCTCCACAGCGCCCGTCAAGCCTTCCAACCCCCGGGACCGTGTCAAGCCCGATGAAGCCGACGGGCCCGTCCCGGACACTACAACCTCTGGATATGGGAGCAACACGTTGGGCGTCATCATTGCCGCCTGTCACGCTGTTCGCATGCACTCGCGTTCTGTCAGCATCTTGCGGACCTCACTTGTGGATCATGGCGTATCGTTACCGATATTCCGTTATCTGAAACACCCCGACGTCGATGTCCAGATTGCAGCTACAGCAGCCATGTGCAATTTGGTCACCGAGGTCAGCCCCATGCGTGAGGTGAGCTTTTTCAGTACGACGCGCTCACATGAGTCCCTACTGACACATACTTAGATGCTTGCAGAAAGGGGCGTGATGAAGATCCTTTGTGAGCATGCGCGTTCGCAGACAGCGGCACTACGACTCAATGCTTTGTGGGCATTGAAGCACTTTGTTCATGCGGCCGGCCCCGAGGTCAAGAAGTTATGTCTTGAGCAGCTCGAGCCAGGATGGCTTGTCCGCCTTATCTGCGATGACACGGAAGACGACGCCCTGTGGTCCGCCCGCGCCAAGATCGACACGCAGGGTGAGGTCGACAGTGGCGACGACCTTGACGGAGATGTAGAGATGGACCGCCACGATGGTCCCTCCAAGTCTATCTACGGCACCACGGGGCTTCCTCGTGACACACACGGCCGACCAGCCGCCTGGGCTGTCCATGCTGAAACCAAGAAAGCAATACTCCGCGACGCCGAGCTGAACCCTCAGCGCCGTGCACGGAACGACGATCTTGCCATCCAGGAGCAAGGCCTCGACTTCATCCGAAATCTCATCGGCGCCACCGCAGCCCCTGCCTCATCGGATCCGGCCACCGAATCCACCGACATGATTGAGCACTTATTCACCGAGCTCGGCCAGGACCGCTTCTTCGACATACTCGCCAAAAAGCTGCAGGCCAAGGTTCTCCACCCAGCGGCCCATCGCCGCAACGGCTCGCCAGTCACCACCAACGAAGCCGCTCGCGTCCTCTACCCGCAGCCCAAGATTGTCGAGGCCGTTGTCTTCATCCTCGTGCACATGGCCGCCAGCACCCCGCGCTACCGCCAGCTCGTCATCGCCCAGACTGACCTCCTCAAGCTGCTTGCTGCCCACTTTGGATCCAAGGACAAGGAGGTCCGCGTTGCGCTCTGCCACCTCGTCAGCAACCTCACCTGGCAGGACGACGAGACGGACTCGCGCCCCAGCGCGCTGCGCGCCCATGAGCTGCGCAAGCTCGGCATGCTGGGCAAACTGGAGACCTTGCTCGAGAGGGACCCGGAGCTCGACGTCCGCGAGCGCGCCAAGGTCGCCGTGTGGCAGATGAAGCAGCTCAGCTTCTAGGGAGCTGCCGGGGCGGCGTCTGCTTTGCGCGGCGTCAGGATGGAGGAATTCCTCGTCAAGGGTGGAGGGGGCCATGTGTCCCCGGGACTGAGCAGGGTATGCATTCAATGGTGTTGGGCGCGTGAATCGGTCTGATGGAATTTATTGATAGTGTATATGGTATCAAGTACAAATCCATTCAAGCAAACTCATTCAACCTGCGACGAGCTTTGGCGTATACCAGATTTTGTGTGAATGTAGGCAGGTACATCAGTTGTCGGGGACATGTTACATTCAAAGAGGAAACTATCTCTCGATCGAGCGGAAACGTTTAAAATATAAATATCAAGACATGTATGTTCAATGGCAGTCATAGCCCAATTTCGTCGTACAATTATTCATTAAGCGTAGCCTATTATTACTGAGCAATTGAGAACCCGGCCTCACGGACTTCATCCAACTCTTTCATGAAGACCGAAGTTTATTAGTGGACACCGGATCTTGAAAGCTCGATTGTGCAAGCCATGACCGTTATCGTCTGCGTGATGTTGATACATTGATGTATGCTACTGCCCAGACAGACGTTGCTTAGACAGCCTGCTGAACAGGGGCCGCGTTGGTACCGTGAGTACCAGTGTAGGCGGGATCACTACCAACGCCGGCGTGTCCAACGCCGTGGTGACCAACGCCAGAGCCGACGCCAGCGGTAGTGCCGGCAGGGCCGGTAGTAGTGGCGCCGACACCAGGAGCTACCTTCTCAGGGAAGGTACCAGGGTGCTGCGGGACGCGGCCGAACTGAGTGAAGTGCAGGTTCAGGCGTCCATAGTCCCAACGACCGCTCAGGAAGACGAAGGCAAATGCAAGGACAGGCACCAGAAGAAGATCGAGGATACCGAACCAGATATGTGTACCGGGGACGCGGATCTGGTATCCCGCATCCGTAAGAGCGAAGGCGAGAACGTAG